TGTAATTTTAGGAGTTATATATGTGTAACATGTCTATTTGTTCGGGTAATATGAAAGGAATAGAATTCTTGATTGTTGTTGGGTTTTGATTTGTTCTTTGCTCTTTTCGATTTTTTTTTACATTTTATCTTCCTTTTTCAGAAAATTCCGAAAAAATTCCGAATTTCCGAAAATTCCGAATATATCGGAATCGGAACTCGTTTTTAAATTCCGAATATTTCGGAATCGGAATCGGAATTGAGATTTCAGTTCCGAAAAAAATCGGAAATTTTCCGAAGAGCCTATTTCCGATCCGATCCGTCCGATTTCCACCCCTATACGTATATATGCATGTATTATGCATGTAATTATGATTAAATCATGAAATCACATAAAAAAATAATTATACACATAAGTCACATAAATTAATCTAGCACACAATTATCCATAATTAATCCATTTAAGCACATAATCATCGAAATAAAGTTGGCACATAATTATTGAATAAATTCCTATAGTCATATAAGGATTATTAGTCTAAGCAATATAAAGCACTTAAAGCAATTAAGTTAATAAGGTAAATAAATTCCTAATAATTCCTACGTGAGAATTTTTCGGGTTATGGAATTTTGGTTAGGGATTAGGGTTTCGAAAATATGGGGTGTTACATTTAGAGTTCGTATGAGAGAGATATGCTCAAAATGGTGGACACTGCCAAATCTGTGGCGAGATTCCTTCTTCCAATTTGATTTATTTCCTTATTTGCAACTTTTTCCTTTCTTTTTGATCTTTTTTCCTTCATGGACACCTAATTCTCGTTTTCATCTATAAAACACAAAATCAATCAATTAAAGCACAAATATAATTAAATCTAAACAAAATATCCACGTAAAGTAAACGTATTGAACGTAAAATCTACACTCAACACACCCCAAACTTGAACTTTTGCTTGTCCTCAAGCAAAATCTAATCGTAAGCAAATTACTCAACTACTGCATCTCATCACATAGATTAATGACCAACTTCACGTTTTCAGAAATTGTAATTATAATGAAAATTCTTAGGCATTCGCAAGCTCAAAATTCAAAAGCACTTAGTCACTTACCATAGCCAAAAACCACAAATCATGCAATAGCTTCAAGCATCCAATATTTGTAAATTAAAGATAGAAAAAAATTATGCTTACATGCATATGTTTGACTCCAAATACTCACCAAATTATTCTACTCTACTAATATCAAACATTAAGCTATTGGGATCATTGGGGCTTTGTGGCTTCCAATTGTTAGGCTCTTTGGTTCGAGGTAGGAAATATGGGTATATGTGGCTATTATTCTTGAATTGAGGTGATTACGTCAAAATTTGAAAGATAGGCGTTTGAAACAATGAATTCACCTCTAAGGACTTTAATAAACTCGATTATCAAAAGTTCAAAAAGTCTCCACCTTTATTTTTGAGGCAATGGATCGAGCTTTCAAAAATAATTTCAACAACTAGTCCTTTCTTCTCCCTTCTAGTCTCATCTTCTTCCTTTTTTTTTTCCTGTTATTAATATATATAGAAGCCTATATACTTCTTCGTCTTTTTTTTTCCGTCTTTTTTTTTTACTTTTTTTTTTAAGAAGGAGATCTTATAAAAATTTTCAACCGAACTCCAAGGGGCAAATTTTCAAAAATCTCCACTTTTCTACCTTATACACATTGGCTAAAAGAAAGAACACCTTTTCTCCGAGGCTCAAATCAAGGTTCTAAGGATAATTTCGATAAAAAGGTCGGCTTGAAAGACTCAAACGGTTCAAAGAAGACCCAAATCATATCCCAAATCACTCACTACTCAATACTTCGTATCATAAATTTCCTAAGTTGAGTTCTAAAACCGAACATAGCATGATCTAGCACAAATTAATTTCAAATTTAAAATACAAAACATTCAACTAAAGCAATGCACAAAGTGTGATTCCTAGCAATAATTCGCTTCTAAGTTCCGTTGAATCGAAAGCTAAACAAACATCTAATCCTTATCACACAAAACAAGCAATTTCATCTCATCAAACATTGATCATCTCTTATCATCATAACTCATCGGTGCGTTCAACTCAAGCAATTTTTTTTTAAGAAAACAATAAATAAACGAAAACGACTAAAAAGAAAAAGAAAAATCCTAAAGCATGCAATCTAAAACATATAAAGCACATAAAAAGTGTTTTTCCACCCCCAAACTTAAAATTTACATTGTCCTCAATGTAATTAAAACGAAGTTTAAGGATAGAATACACCTTGATTAGTCGAAACGTCCTCCACGTGTTGCACCCCTCCATCTCTTCCTCTTTCAGCAAACACCTTTTTTTTTTATTTTTTTTCTAATTTTTTCGAAAAAAATAAAAAAATTCCAGAGGTGTTCCGGACGGCCGTCCCACCTTTTGCACTGTTTTTGGGACGGCCGTCCCACAAACAGTAGGTCCACAACTCGTCGTAACTTCTCCGGACGGCCGTCTGGGTTTTGGCTTGATTTTCGGACGGCCGTCTGGGCTTTTTGTGTCCGTTTTTCGACCTAAAAATTCAAACATGATTAAATTATTAGATTGCACGCTTATATATATTCTAAGAAAATTAAAAACAACTTAAAATACGAAAATAAATGAGAAAAAAAATGATAAATGCTCGTGTTGCCTCCCGAGAAGCGCTAAATTTTAAGTGTTCAGCCAGACGTTGCTTCTTGAAATTGTTATGTCCAATCCAAAGCCTTGTAGATTGCGCATCCATCCATGAGCTTTGTCACTTCAATTGCAACCGATACAGGGATAGGATTGCAATATGTCAGGGTCCACTTTAGCTTGTAATCTTTCTTGGCTGTAATCAATCGGTACGAAGCCAAGATGGGATCTTCATCACCCGCTCTCTCAAATTGGTACACAAAAACCTCAAGTTTGAGTATAACCTCCACTTCAAACACATTCGTCTTCTCATCAACCTCTATTGATGCTTTAAAAGCCACATCATGAACAACAATAATATCCTCAATTTGAGTATTTGCACTAACCACATCCATCTCCTTCTTCTCTTGTTCCGAGACATCTTTGGAGTTTAGCTCGATTGTATTCTCAGATTCATCATCCTTAAGCGTCTTTGTTATTTCTTTTTCCCTCTCATCGACACTATTTTCTAAGTCTAAAGGATTTTTTTCACCACAAATTTCAGACGAATTTTCTTTGTTGCAAGCATTCTCGATATCGTCTGAAATATTTTCAAGAGACCTCTGGCGCTTGAATTCTTCCAACTGTATCTCCAGTCTTCGGATAGATGCTTGAGTGGATTTCATAAATTCTTCAAGGACGGAGTTCAAATAACACTCCTGAACAGTGGGTTCTCGTGGCGTGTTGGTGTATGTGTTCCAATAACCGCCGTTGGTATTATCTATGAAATTATTTGCTTTCGGTGCATACCAACATTGGTTAGTGTAATGATCTCCACCACATATTGAACAAAGTGACGGCATATCATAGGTATTTTAGAGGTATTCGCCAGACGGAAGCCATTCATATCCCGTTTAAGTTGCGCGGAAATTGTAACCTGACATGTAACCAAAGAAAAAAATATTAAAAAAAAATTAAAACGAAAAAAATAAATAAAATAAAAATAAAAATTAATTTGGGTGAATCGTGAAAATTGTTCAAATTTAGAGCTAGAATAAAATAAATAATTAAAATATTCCCCGGCAACGGCGCCAAAAACTTGTTGGTTGTAATACCTACAAGCAAGTGCATGTATCGTACAAGTAATATAGTGGACTAAAAGTCCGGATATCGAACCCACGGGGAATATTTAATTATTTTATCCTAGACGCTAAATTCTACCAATTATTATCAAGCTCACCCTACACAGTCGACTTTAGAGAGAATTAACTAAATTAAAATAAATTAAAAAGCAAATTAAAAAGAGAAGAGCGCGAAAGCAATTAAAAACAAAGGTTTAATCAGAGTAAACAAGCCTAGGATTTTATTCTTCCCCCTATGTGATTATTACTCCCCCAATTCCTTCAATTATGCAAGAAATTAACCTAGATTATTAACCTGAGATGCTAAATTAATCATAACCTGCTTCCGCGTGTATTACGATTCTAATACTCTAGATTCAATTACTATATTCCTATGCAATTAATTCTATAACACAGCATTAAGCACAAATTTCAATAATGGCTACCTAAGAGATTAACTATATTCCTATGTTAATACCACAAAGGCTCTTCTACCACAGTTCTAATTACTAACCCGATCTTCCGATTCATGCGATTAACAATAACATAAAAGCACATAAGGTGATCAAATTCATGCACTTAATCAAACAAGTAGGAGAAATAATCCGAAATTAAAACTTGCATAAAATCATAGAATTGGGTTCATAAATCCCACATAAGGTTCCAAATAAAATCCTATAAATAAAAACTTAGTTACTCGTGATTCTTATGATAAAGAAAATAAAATAAATAAATTAAATAAGAAAAACTATGCTTGAGTCTTCGTTGATCTTCGTTCCTCGCATTTTGTGGTGTATATTTTTCGTGCTTATGGTGTAAAGACTTGTTGCTTTTATATGCTTTTCTTGATAAGGAAGTAGTGGAAACCTAATAGGAATCAATTTCCGCCACTTTCCTCTATCAGGACTTGTTCTTCGATTTTCTACATGTTGGACTCTAGGAATGTTGCGTAAGTAAGAATTGTAGCCCTTGAAATTAGCTTTCCAGTGCCGCAAAAATCAGATGATTTAGAGTTCGTATGAGAGAGATATGCTCGAAATGGTGGACACTGCCAAAGCTGTGGCGAGATTCCTTCTTCCAATTTGATTTATTTCCTTATTTTCAACTTTTTCCTTTCTTTTTGATGTTTTTTCCTTCATGGACACCTAATTCTAGTTTTCATCTATAAAACACAAAATCAATCAATTAAAGCACAAATATAATTAAATCTAAACAAAATATCCACGTAAAGTAAACGTATTGAGCGTAAAATCTACACTCAACACTAAGATTGCGTCTGAAGGACTCAAGCACCGTGTGTTTGAGGTGTCATTGGCTGACCTTCAATCTGACGAGGATCTCGCCTTCCGAAAGATCCGTTTGAGGGCTGAGGATGTTCAGGGAAAGAATGTTCTCACAAACTTCTGGGGTATGGACTTCACTACCGACAAACTGAGATCCCTTGTCAGGAAATGGCAGACACTGATCGAAGCCCATGTCGATGTCAAGAAAACCGACAGCTACACGCTAAAGTTGTTCTGCATTGCCTTCACCAAGAAGCGCGCTAACCAGCAGAAGAGGACATGTTATGCTCAATCAAGCCAGATTCGTCAAATAAGGAGAAAGATGATGGAGATTATGGTTGCCCAGTCGCAATCTTGCGATCTCAAGGAATTGGTTCAGAAGTTCATTCCCGAGTCGATTGGAAAAGAAATCGAGAAGGCGACTTCGAGCATCTGTCCTCTCCATAATGTGTTTATCAGGAAGGTCAAGATATTGAAAGCACCCAAATTCGACCTTGGAAAGTTGATGGAGGTTCATGGTGTGAAATTGGACAGGTCGGCCGAAGAGGCTGTAGCTGAGCCGACTGAACTTGTTGGTGCTTAGGTTATTAAATGCTTTCTAAACTTTGCCTCCTTCGATTTCTGTATGAATTGTTCGAGTCAGAGTTGACTTTTTTGGAGTGATTTAGAAAGAGATTTTCCTTGCCAGGATAATGGTTCAGGCAGATTTATGTTTGGTGTTAAATTTTGTTTACTTATATTAATTGTGGATTATTTCTTTCAATAGATTTTTCTTTTATCAAAAAAAAAAAAAAAAAAAAATCATGTATTACGATTAGCTAAAATTCACTCAATTACATTATATTAGTTTGACACTAAAAGGGTGTTTGGCTAAGCTTATAAGATGTTAAAAGGAGCTTATAAGATGTTTTAGAACTTATAAGCTCTTCCAAAGTGTTTGGTAATTTTTTTAAAAAATAAGCTGTTGGAAAACAAATAAGATCATTTTAAAAAAGTACCTCTACCCACATTTTTATTTAAAGATCTTATTATGAGTAAAAATAGGAAATAAGCTAATTATACAAACACTCTAAAAATTAATCCTAATAATAAGACGTAACAGCTTATCAGCTTTTAAAACATCTTATCAGACGAAGGAGCTTATCAGCTGTTTAAAATAAGTTTAGTCAAATACCCTCTAAATAATACACTTTTATATTGTTTACTTAAACAAAAAAATTACTAAATTTAATATTTTTTTCATAAAAAAAATTGCCCGTAACTTCAACTTTTTATTTCAAGAAAAGGGAAAAAGAAAATAAAAAGAATTGGAGATAATAAATACATAAAAACGTATAGAGAGGTGAAAAAAAAGAAAAAAAAAAAAAGAAAAAAAGGAAAATAAAATCTGCTAGTTTCCTCCTATTCTCTGCTAGTTTCCTCCTATTCTCTCTTTAGGTGGTGTTTGTAAATGATTATTTAAAAGCAGATGTTAGTGATTGTGATTTAAGTTAGTTTTAAGTGCTTATTTCTAAAAGTTGGGGGTGTTTGCAAATATTTCGGAAAATGAACTAAAATTGAAAAAGCAGGGTTATTAGGGATGCTTTTAAAAAAATAGCTTAAATCAGATTATTTTAAGAGAAGCAAAAGCAAAAGTTGATTTTGCAAACACCTAAAAACAGATTATGAGCAAAAAAAACCGCATAATCACTTTCAAAAAGCATTTGCAAACACCACCTTAGCCAGGTTGATATGTAAAATGGGCCCATCAAGAGCCGTGGCATTCAATTTTATCCACGTGTCTTCAATTGAATGACATCCGATTTTGGGCATCTTCCACCCATCTCCATGGGGAATACGATGCTACACCTGGTGATTTTCACCGGGTGGCTCTTTTCTTGACATGTGTCCTTTTTTATTTATTTTATAATTATATTCTAAAAACCCATTGGGCCATAACTTAACCCGTAGTAGGAATCTTATTAATTAGGATGCCTGGTTATATTCACCAGGTGTAGCATAGAATTTCCCCATCTCCATATCCCATTTTTTCACCTAATTTAAGAGCATTTGTAGTATCCACACCAAAAACGATTCCGTAAACAATGGGCCCATGTGCCACCTACTCAATTTACTCTCTCCCTTAAAGTGGGACCTACATTAAATATAATATTTGAATTAAATTTTCAAATAAAATTCCTTATTAATTTAATTAAAATATTATATTATCTTAATATTTCTATTACGTTGTAAGATGTATTATTTTAGGGGAAATTTGCTATAGGTCCCTCTATATCATAATTTATGTGTGTAAATTCAAGTCAAAATTTAATGTTTTAATAAATTAATAATATTTATTATGGCAAAAATACCCTTAATTAAATCAAATCAAATCCACAAAGATCTCTCTATCAAAAAAAATTCCCAAACATCTCTCTTCCAAATATTAACTAAAAAAAATAAATTAATTCATAACAAAAATATACAATTTATTTTACAAAGTCATACTCCAAAAACACCACCGCAACCCCACCACCGCCTATGATTCGGGAACTGCGACGCCTATGACTCCGCGAACTGCAAATAGCAAACTGAAAATTAGATTTTATATTATTGAATTGCAAACAATAAAATACCTATGATTTCGCCAAATGCAAACAGCAAACTGAAAAAACAAAATCCATAATTTGTATTACTGAATTACAAACAAAAAATTACCTATTACTTCGCCAAATACAAACAGCTAACTGAAGAAAAACATTCAGCAAAACTTGCATTATTGAAGTGCAAACAATAAATTACCTATGACTTGGCCAAATGAAAACAGCAAACTGAAAAAAAATTAAAATAAAAAATCAGCATCATTAAAAACATCAACCAAAAAATTGTTTATGGAACAATTTGCAAACAACAAAAACATTAAACAAAATGTTTGTAAAATATAACTTAAGACATACCTTGCAAATTGTAAACCAAAAGAATTGAATCTCAACATCAAACGCAATTCTTCAAACAACAAACGAAGTTAAACCAACCTCCAAACGATTGCTAACAACAAAAACGATAAGAATGTTCTACATACGGGAGACACAATGTGAATTTTGGCTATAATTTGAATTTCTGAATTTTTGTTGTTCTATTTAATTCTTCCACCAAAAAATCATCTCATAATCTAAAAAGATTCCTTTTGTTTTCCTTCTCTATAATAGTTCTTTATCAAAAAAGTAAAGAAAAAGAAAAAAAAAACAGAGAAGCTCGAGAGAGGGAGAAAGGCGTGGGACACAGAGGGAGAGAAGAAGATGAGAGATTAAATATAGGATGAGAGAAACGTGAGATTGGAGAGAGAAGATACATGATATTTGTTTTCTTATTAATTGAGGGTGATTATGTCTATACACTAATTATTTTATTTTATTTATATTATTTTTTTGAGTCAAAGGACCTATACCTATATTCATCTAGCAACTATGATATCTACCTATATAAGTCCAAAATAAGGGGTGTCTAGCAAATTTCCCATTATTTTATTTAATTTTTATCGATTTCGATTTACTTTATTAAAGCAACTGAAATTTAATATTGAAATCCCTAAAAATAATATAATATAATTAAACATTACTTAACAAATAACAAAATAATAGTATAATCAATTAGTAAAATTAAACACATTAAATATTACATAACAATATATATATATATATATATATATATATATATATATATATATATATATATATATATATATATATATATATATATATATATATATATATATATATATATATATATATATATATATATATATATATATATATATATATATATATATATATATATATATATATATATATATATATATATATATATATATATATATATATATATATATATATATATATATATATATATATATATATAAATCTAAATCATCAAACAAAAAAAAAAAAAAAAAAAAAAAAAAATAGAGAGAGATATATATATATATATATATATATATATATATATATATATATATATATATATATATATATATATATATATATATATATATATATATATATATATATATATATATATATATATATATATATATATATATATATATATATATATATCAAGGTTGTAAAAAGCGGTAATCGGGTCGGAGGCGGTTAGGCACCGATTCACGATTAATCGGTGCGGCGGTGATTAATCGGTGATAAATTGGAAATAAAACGATTTTTAAAATTTAATATAATATATTTCTAGATACTATTTATAAATACTCAAAACATATATAAAAAGATATTTACACATAGTTATATCTCCATCATGTATATATCCTAATAGCATAATAAAAATTTAAGAATAATAAGATCATAATACATAAATATCCATATAAAATATAAATAAAAAGATAAACTTTTTGAATTTAAATTTATTCTTCAACACTCTTGGCATACATCATTAGAGCAACTCCAACGGGGTTATTAAATGGGGTATCGAATCCCTTAACCTCCATTTGACTCCCAAATTTAAAAACTCTATCCTCCAATGGGGTTAGTAAAATAGGGTTCTATTTTGATAACAAATTCATCCGGAAGTAAAAATACATCCTAGATGAATAATTATCAAAATATTCTACTAAAATACAGGAGCACGTGAAAAAAGAAAAAAAAAAAAAAAAAAAACCTCAACATAATTGAGTTTTCTTTTCTTTACGTCAAAATCTCAACAAAATTAAATTAAATTTTCTCTACGTCTTCAACAAATTTCCACTGGAAAAACAAATCTCGAAAATAGCTCAACAGATTTTTTTTTCTAGGTCTTCAACAAATTTTCATGGGAAAAAAAATTATGTGTATATAAAATAAGTTTGCTGCATCAAAATTCTCCACACAATTATAACTGTTGGAACATCGAAGGCCGACTCGGTATATCACTCACCATTAAAGAAACTCCAAGCAATTTATAGGTTTTCTTTACTTTTTTAATATTTTTTATGATCGGAAGCTCCAAGCAATTCTTTTTAATATTTTTTTTAACTTTTTATGATTGTTTGAGTGTTGTACTTCTTTACACTACTTGCACATTAATGACAAGAAAACTGGATGAAGATATATAGATAATTTATTCACTACATATACATATAGATTAGACCGTAGGAAACTATAACATATTACAGTGACTAAATAGTAAAAAAAAATCATTTATTGATATTCTAATTAAATAAAATAAATGGCGAATTTGTTCAAGGACATTGGGATGTGCTTGATGTCGTGATGAGGTGATCTTTTCTTGTTTTTCCTCTTTTACTTTTTTTGTAGATGGATTTAAATTACTATGGGGTTTCACTGATCTCCTTAATGGGGATATGCCGGTGCACGAAGAAAGCTCTATGATCAATTCTACTATATATATCGAGAACACAACTGAAGTCGAAGTTTCAAATAAACCAAAAAGGTCGACAAATTTCTCTCGCGAAGAGGATGTTTGTATTGTTTTGGCATGGCTAAATACAAGTAAATATGCTATTCGTGGAAGTGATCAGACATCTACCCAGTTTTGGAAGAGGATTTATGATCAATTTGTAATGAATTACGGTCAACGAGTGCGTACGGAGCAAAGCATAAAACAACATTGGCATGATATAAATGCTAAATGTGCAAAGTTTATTAGCTGTCTGAAACAAATTGAGAATAGGCATCAATCTGGTCAAATTGATCATGGAAGGGTAAATGCACTCTTTTTTTTTTCCCACTTTTCACTGTTCATATTGATATTA